TATATATATATATATATAGGGAGCGTATCAAGTGAGAAGTTTTTATTGTGAGAAGGTGAGAAGGTGGAAATATAACCCTTAGATTAATCAAGTGAGAGAAAATTTGGGATTTAATCAAGTGAGAGAAAATTAATCTAAGGGTTATATTTCCACCTTCTCACATTCTCACAATAAAAACTTCTCACTTGATACGCTCCCTATATATATATATATAATATTTTTTGTTGGAGAGAATTTTGTTTGATTTGAATCGGACTATTATGAATGGAAAAACTTTTCCTCTAAATATTTAAACAATGATATATCCAAGACTTTGAATGCAAGTTTACTCATTATACTGAAATAACTTCTCATTTGATTTATGTTTGTTTGTGATATTTTTTATTATTATAAAAAAATAGATTAAAGTAAGACACCACTCTATATAAGGTAGAATCAACCATCAATCTCTTTAATTATTTTTAGTGAAATTATACCAATCACCATATATTTCAATTTTTTAATTTAAAAAATAATATTTTATTACATGGAAAGACTAACTAATTTTTCAATTTACACCACTCTTTTGAATCAATTAATTATTAATATTTTGAGTTTCAATGACAATTTAAAATTGAATAAATTAAATAGCAAATTAATAAAATAAATAAATAGACTGAAAGCATTTTAATTTGTTTCGATCCTCCAAGGAATCATAAATGACAAATCAAAGTCTGAGATGTACAAAAGTCAACTTTTGGAAGTTTATTAAAAAAGGGGGATAAAATTGAGTCTTTAAAAGTATATGTTTTTGACATTTTAATTTCTGAAAGTATAAAAACTTAAAAAAAAAAATTCTTAAAAGAGTAAAATATTATTCACTTTAATTCAAAATTCAAAAAGCATGGGACTTAAATGATAATATTAATGTATATTTAGAGACTAAAATTATAATAATTATTTTTAAAGATTTAAACAAAACAAATAAATTTTTTTAAAAAACTTATTCATAATTTTCTTATTTTAAGATTAAAGTGCTAATGTGATGCATTTTCAAGAATCAAAATAAATTTTTGAAACAAAAAGGTTGATAAGACTTTTTCACCCTTTTTTTTTTCTCTTTTCTTTTCCCCACAGACTTTAGTATGCAAGAATTTTGTCCCCACAAAAAAAAAGTATAGGAAAGATATTTCTTAAAGTGAGTGCAAAAAATATATAATTAAAAAAAAGTAAACCCTACTTATTTTAAATTGTGAAAGTCACTTAATGGACACCCACAAATGCAGAATTATGATGTTAGCTACTAACTGCTTCTTCCATTTCCTTTCCAAGATTTCTTGTGCCTTTCTCCCACTGTCACAGTAAAACCAATTGCCAATTAAGCAGAAGAAAACATTCACAGCATCAGATGCCAATACTGTCTCAGGTCATTGCTATTACAATTTCGTTGCATGCCCTTCAGTAATAATGGATGTATTTGTCGTCACAAAATAATACATAAAAGAGCAATGGATTCATTTGATGCCAGAGAAAAAAATATATAAAAGAGCAAAGAATGCATTTGTTGTCACACAATTATTGTTTCTTTTAAATTACATATAATTTTTAGAAGTAACGTTAATTCAAGTTTATAATATTTATATAATACAAAAATCATAAAAAAAATTTAAGATTTTAAAATTTAATTAATATTAAATTTTTTATTTATTAAAATATTTTAATTATAATTATTTTATGTTTTAATTAATAATATCTTAAATTTAGATATCTAAATTAATTAATATATATATATATATATATATATATACACACACATACACACAGAGAGGAGAGAACAAATTACTCTATGAGTAGCTCTTGATAAAGTTAATTCACTTAATAACTTATAGTGTATATTGAATTTTAATTAATGATTCAATCCTTAAATTAAAATTTTTTAATGCATAGATCAAGTTTACAAAATTTTAAAAAAATTTGAAAAATATTTGATATTTCATTTTATTAATTCAAATTGGCAGAGAAATATAAAAATATTTTATATGTTGATTATTCAAATAACGAAGTATTATATGATTTAAATTTTTCTAAAAATTTGTAAATTTGATTTATACATTAAAAACTTTTAATTTAACGGTTGGACTGTTAAAATTTAACATACACCATAAGTTATTGAGTGGAGTAACTTTATCAAAAGTTATTTTTGAGTAATTTGATCCCTCCTTATATAGTTATATATTTACTCCACTCAATAACTCATATTCTACATTAAATTTCAACGATCCAACCATTGAATTAAAAACTCTTAATGTATAAATCAAGTCTACTAATTTTTAAAAAAATTTAATAACAACCATGTGATAATTTGTTAGATTTAAATCAACATATAAAATATTTTTATGATTATCTGTCAATTTGAATTTATGAAATGAAATATCATATAATTTTCAAAATTTAATTTTTTTTTGCAGATTTAATCTATGTATTAAAAAAATTTATTTTAAAAATTAGATTACTCCACTGCACTTCACACTAACCTCAATCTCTTTTTAAAAAAAATTCTATATTCATATTTAAAATTTGTATAAATATATATTAAATTAAAATTAGTAACTAATAAAAAATAATTAACTTTTATATATAAAGCACAAATGATGTTTTTCTTGTGTCATTGCATTTTTAGAGACTTTTCTTTGACTATAAGAATTTTAAATATTTTTTAACTTCGTATCTAATTTAGTTTTTATTTATCACAATTACTTATGAATTAATTTTATTATTTTTAAAATAAATTATTAATAAAAAAATTTATCCACATATATATCCGTCGATAATTACCCACGGATACATCCGTCGGTAATTCCATGTGTATTGTTGATAATATTTTTAAAAAATTATTTCAAAATTGTATTAAATAACAATTTTGTTTAGTGTAACACTCTCATATTTGACCTTTCAACGACTTCACTCCACAACACTTCACACTAACCTTAATTTTTTTTTAAAAAAATCTATATTCATATATTTTGTTATTGGATCAATTCAATAATTTTTTACACTACAAATATTGTTTTATTAAAAATAATATAGTTCAAAATTGGTAAAATTATAAATATTAAGAAATTACCTTTTAATTTTAGACTATCACGCATCAATGTCATTTCACTAATTATATATTTCTCAATTTAAACAAAATTAACTATATATAATATTAAAATATATTAATAGTAAATTATTATTTTATATTATCATTTAATTATAAATTATATATATAATAGTTAGTATGGAAAATTAATTAGCATGACAAAATTAGTTAAGTATTTAAGAATTTAATTTGCTAATCTTTTATCATTATATTTTTTAAAGTTACTG